AAAAAAAGTTGAAATTTGTAGACCAGTGTTATTAGTAAAATAAAGTGTGAGTACCGGTTTGTCAGGTCTTGAAATTAGACGCATGTTTTAAATAATTTTATTTAATTTTCGAATATATAATTGGATCTTTTCGCGCGACTTTGCAAATATAAGTAATTTTCGATTTTCTGAATTCTCGATTTTCAGCTTCTTTTGCGTAATTTCGCGAAAAGAATTTTTCGAGCAATGGAAGAGTCACACAAAACATTCGGAATTTTTCTTTTCTGAGAGTGGAAAGCAGAAAACAAAAACTACCAAAAGTCCGTCACATTTAATGATTGGGCCCATATTTTTTGCGAGTTGTAGACATTATAGTGATCCAATCTTCCCCAAATTCAACATTTAGGGTTTTCTAATAAAAGAGACAGTACAAACTAAATTTCATTGAAAGCGCATGTTTAATGTTTCCGCCCACAAGAGTGGAGGGCGTGGCAATTATCCACATTTACCAAATTTAATAATTTCCTATTCCTAAGTAAAATTAGGGACATGACAAGTTTCAGCGAAATCGGTGCAGGTTAACTATTATTTCCACCGGCCTCCATATAGTCGAAACACTGCAAATCTTGCAAAACCAGGTCACCAAAGGGGTGTAGTATTAGTAATAAGTGTAAAAAACGACAAAATGTGACCTTCGCCAATATAATTTTTTTCGCCGAAATCCCACTGTGCGGCTTACTTACCTTAAATATTGAAAAAAATACACATCTTTACATTTTTTGTCGATTTAATCTCAATTTGGAATGTTTTTCGATAGCAATCCATAAATAACTGCTCACATATTATAAAACTACATTTGATTGTAATTTCAATGTGATACTCCAATTATATATACGATTAACTTTGATTTTAGAAATCAACTTTGAAAGTTTTTACAATTTCTGTTTCTGATGTTTTTATTTCACAATTATTCTCTAAATCAAGGCGAATTTATATAAGGTGGTGTTGTTTCATCAGCTGTGAGGAGCGTTTGATTGTCAAAATTTTGTATTTCGCTAGTGAGTGAGTGAAAACGTGAGAGTGTTTGTATTTTCTGTCGCCCTTTTTCCTTCGGGGAAGAATATCCGAAATTTGACAATGGCCCGCTAGAAGCAAAAACAAAATATAAGCAATTGTTGTATTTGTTGAATCGATACCACCTTATATATATTCGCCTTGCTCTAAATTATTGGAAAGTGTAGAATGTGTTTTAGTTGTGAAATTTTTTCGATAAGAAAAATAATTTTTTTAAAATTTGTAGGTTGCTAACAGATAAGAAGCATAGGTTAAAACTTGCAAATAATAAAGCTTTGGTTGATGATTACACCATGTGTTTTAACCGTACGTTTACTAAAATTCAGTGGTATGAACCAGGGTTGTTGCGAATATTCGCATTCGCATTCGCAACCGCGGAGCTTCCGCATTAATTTTAACATTCGCATTCGCTTTCGCATTCGCAAAAATCAATGCGGATCTTTTGCGAATGCGAATATTAAAGGGACCGAAAATTACAGTTTTTTTTAACAATTTAAACTTGGCCAAATATTTTTATTCCGAAATAAAAGTACTTTCCGGATAATAAACAAATCGCTTACCCAAATTAAACAAGTTTGGTATCAAATGAAAGAGGACTTAAATAGCTTTGAAACTGAAATGTCTAAACGAGGAAAGCCATATTGAAAAATATTTCAATAAATAATGTTAATTAATAACCATAGAACAAACCTTGGGTCAGGTATGTATTTATATGAATTTCTTTAGTATAGATTATTAAAAAAATTATAAATCGAGGAGGAAATCTTCGTTCGTTTTTCCTGTTTAAAAGCTATTTCAGTCCTCTGTCATATGATACCAAATTTGTTTAATTTGGATAAGCGATTTGTTTATTATCCGGAAAGAATGTTTATTTCGGAATAAAAAATATTAGGCCAAATTTAACTCGTAAAAAAATAACTGTTATTTTCGGTCCCTAGAATATTATGCAAGTGCACTGATAACACGTATATCTGACCAGTCACAGAAGAAAGCATTAAAAATTAATTACAAAAACTAAAATCGAAAAACGCTGATGACGTGACTGGTTCTCCGAATTCCGAAACAACCAAAAGAATGAGAATGAAGAATTCTTTGGAAAGCAACGGTGTTTAAACAACGATAGTGCAATGATGATAGATTGTGAAGATGAAAGTCAGGAGGATACATCCGACATTTGCGGCCCCGATGAAATTCTCAGAAAGTAATTATTGCACCGGAATAAAAATAAATAAATGTAACTGAAGGTCCTCTCAACTGGTGCAGTGTCAATCGAAATGAATTTACAATTTTGTCAAGTTTCAAGTTTGTCGCCTAGAGCGAGTAGTTATAAAGTGGCGCAGGTTTGATTTACGACCCTTTAAAAAGTTTTTATTAAATACAATGTTCCAATTTTTAAATTCAAGTACTAAAAAAAACATTCAGTCTTATCATGAGTTTAATTTTTCCCGAACCGGTTCACTTTTCACTTTTGGTTTTCATGTATTTACTATGGGCGGAATACAAATTTTCGGGGGAAACTCAGGATAAGGCAGATTATTAAAAATTACTAACCTTTCCATTTTTTATTTACCTAAGTCACCTAATTTACCTACCTAAATTATTTCTTAAAAATACATGACATCCGCATTCGCATCCGTATCCGCGGATGTTACCTTTTAAACATCCGCATCCGCATTCGCATCCGCGGATGTATAAAATTGCACATTCGCAACATCCCTAGTATGAACAAGCAGTGGAATTCTGACAATTACCATGCTAAATTTCCATCGCTAAAATTATCTAAATGAAAATAAGTTGGCCCTAAAAGCACGCAACATAAAAGTAACATTTGCAATGTGTAATCAACCAAAGCTGGTAGTATGAGGAGCATGTAACTAGGTTTTGCATGTCGTTAGGAGCGTCTGATATTCTTTTGGAAATTTTTGGCGATAAAAATTAGCGATAGCGAATGTTGGAATCCGACTGCAGAACACGTATGTGTAGCATGTGCATCTGTACCAAAAACTTGGAATTCAAAAGTGGGAAAAAAGAAGATTCCCATTTTCAGTTCCAATGCTATGGCATTAACGGAATTACCACTCACAAAAAACTGTTATTTTTGTTTAACAAACTTTTGTGGACACAAATATTTATAAAACACGACATCTTTATCTTAATGTTAAATCCGTAATGAAGCCTATATCGGTCATTAACAAAGAAAAGGCGTCAACTAGTGACTACACTAATAGTGATGACGATGATAACGTTATTGGTACCAAAAAATGTGATGAGTTTATCACATTTGGCTGCCATTCGACTGAGCAACATCTTTTATCTAACGAAGACAATGTGCAGGATTTGGAATTATCGCACCAACAAACCAAGATGGTGGCTTCTAGATTGAAGCAGTGGAATTTAGTGGAAATAATTTTAAAATTGCTCGTAAGCGTAACGACGACCGGAGAAACTACAAGCAGGTGTTAAAAATGGACAAAGGCAACCACAACCTCGCTTATTTCGCAGATGTATCGCAACTGTTTGATCTCTTGGGTCACAATTATGTACCAGAGGAGTGGAGAATTTTTATTGATGGCTCAAACAAGAAGAATGAGAAGTTTTATATTTATGAAGACTTATGAAATGATTTCATTTAAATATTCTACTAAATATAATAATAATAGATTGGCGTTTACGCATATGTTAATGTTTGGCCGAGCTTCTCCTCCGACTTGTAGCGTGCGCCTTGATGTCACACA